TACTTCTTGTGATTTGGAAGTAAAGCTTCTGTTATGGCATCCCAAAATAGCATTTGTCCTTTTTGCAGCTGCACTGAATTGCTGGCTCATATTTAGCCTGTTTCCCAAAATAACTCCGAGGTCTTTTTCTTTTTCAGTTCTGTTGAGCCACATATTCCCCATCTTGTATTGATGCCTTTGGTCTCTTTTTCCTAGGTGGAGGACTTGGCACTTGCCTCTCCTGAATCTCCTTCTGCTGCTTTCAGCCAATGTTCAAGTCCATCAAGATCGCCTTGAATCTCCATTCTGTCTTGTAGGATGTTCACTATTCCACCCGGTCTTGTATCACCTGCGAATCTGATTATCTTCCCGTGTACTTCCTCATCTAGATCATTAATGAAGATGCTGAAGAGCACTGGGCCCAGGACTGAACCCTGCGGCACCCCACTAGCTACCTCCATCCAGTCTGAGAAGGTGCCATTGATGTGTCTGACTGAGCAGCCAATTTTGGATCCACCAAACAGTTTTTCTGTCTAGTCCACTTTCTGCTAATTTGCCTATCAGAATGTCATGGGGAGCTATGGCGAAAGCTTTGCTATTGTAACGCAAGACCAGGCTTGCTGGATCGGACTCAGGGTCCAACTCGTCAAGCATTCTGTTCACACAGCAGCCAACCAACTGCCCACTGGAAACCCAAAAGGGAGATATGAGCGAGACAGCATCCTCATGCCCATGTTCCCCAGCAGCTGGTATACCCAAGAGTGCAACCTCTGCCACTGGAGGTAGCATAGGGCCATGAGGACTAGTAACTACGGATAGCCTTCTCCTCCACAAATGTGTCCAACCCCACGTTAAAGCCACCCAAATTGGTGGCCATCACGACATTTTGTGGAAGGGAATTCATCGTTTCCACTATGCGCCATGTACAAAAGGAGGTAGCAAAAGTCACACTGCATGTGCTACTTGGCCAGTTCAGTTGCTGCTGAGCCAAACCTCAAGGGTCCTGATCCAGTTATCTGTCATGCAGTTTCAATGTGTAGGGAGGCTTCCTTCTTGGTGGAGACTTCAAACTGGCTCTCCTTCCCTCTACATCCCAGGAAGAGCTTGACGGTTCCAACTGGCCCAGGATTATGGGTCAGCCTTGCATTAAACTAGCACAGTACATGCCCATAGGAAGTCCTGCTCTAAATTGGAGCTTTCGTTCTTACAGGCCCATCAAGTTTAAAATAACGTATTTTTCCTGATATTTTGACAGGTTGCCATAAATATTATATATGGGTTTTTCATTGCTTTTGGGATTGCTTTAAACAGTAATGGCATGGCTTTAAAAAATCACATTATAGGAAAAAGTATAATTTCTTATTAAAGTCTACTGAACTTTTACCATAGTAGTCTATCTGTACAGGTGATGAGAAGAAAGATATGATTAACAGCAGTCCATTTTCTTAGCCCAGTGGTATGACTGGAATTCCTTATGGAGGCTGAGCAACTCGCGTTGGTGCTGGGTGTACAAGAAGGGAAACCCAGGCCTCAGCTCCTTGCAAAGAAACCATGCCTGGATTTTGTAATTACCATGGTTTACTCAAAGAATTCCCTTCTCTCCTAGCTTCACTTATAAGTAAAATAAGGAACTGTTGTAGATGGCCAAGGTATACAAAACACCTTCTTGGCAAGCACTGCTGCCCCTGACACTGGTTTTGTTTCCATCGAGCAGTTCCTCTCTGCAGCCCAATATTCCCAATTTCTCCAATAACCCATGAGGGGGGACATGACATCACTCTGTGAGCACCTCAAAGGCCGTCACAAAGAGGAAGGCTGTCAAAATCTTTTCTTGCTAATACCAGACTGTAGGACATGGAATAATCAGCATAGTGTTACTTTCTGGGGATGATGGGAGATACAGTGCAGCACATCATGGCTGGGCTACCTCATGTCGTGCTCCTGCCCCATTTCCTCTTTCCAAGAACCATCACTTTAATCTTCAGTATTAGCTGACTTGGGCAAAGCCCTAAACCAGCTATGAGCTACAGTTGTACAGATATAGCGTGGATGGCTCTAAGAGGTTTTCTAGCTGTTATTTCTAGTGCTCCTGTCATTTGCTACTCCTGATTGTTTATGGAATCAACAATCCCATAAACAATGGGAACAACACAAGCCTCTCATTTCACTTCTGTTGGAAAATGAAGAAGAAAGCCAGTGTGGTGTAGTGGTTAAGGGCATGGGACTGGGACTCAGGCGATCGGGGTTCTAGTCCCCGCTCAGCCATGGAGCCAACTGGGTGGCTTTGGGCCAGTCACAGACTCTCAACCCAACCTACCTCACAGGGTTGTTGTTGTGGGGATAAGATGGAGGAGGAGAATGATGTAATCTGCCTTGAGCCCTTTGTAGGATAAAGGCAGGATATAAATCGGGGGGGGGGGGGGGAAGAACTTTCTGCAAGTTCATGTAGAAGAGGGAAAATGGGGAATTATTTCTGCTGGTGGAAAGAAGGCATTGTTTCTACTTGTGTATTTGTGCTATCTGGCCTCCTGAAGGTCATAAAAAAGCAGAAGAAATGCTGCTCATGTATGGTTTGAACCTCGGATCACACCAAGCAGGCGCAGTTGATTTCACAGCCTCACACAGAAACATCCTGAAGCTCCGTCTGGCTGCCTGACTTTCCCCCTTGCATTAGCCTTTAAAGGGAAAAGAGGCAATGCTGCTGATGCCTCATCTGCTCCTTCTCCTCTGACCTTCCGGTCTTCACCAACAAATCACTTCGCGCTTCTCCTGCCAGCCCCAAACCACACCCAAAAGGAAGGATGTGGACAGACAAGATTTCTAGAGCTGTGCAAGGTGACACACCTTTATAGATCTTTAGATGGAGTCACTAGGTCTGGGGAGCCTTTCAGCAAGACATCCTTGGGCCTCCCCTGCCCCTTGGGCCTCCCCATGACACTGGTGTTGAACTATTTGAAAGCAAATGGAGAACGCTCTCCCATCTCTTCATTTGTCCCCACTCGCTTCATTGGGGGAGAGGTGCATGGATAGCAACGGCTAAGTTCACGAGGCCCCAGAGGTATCAGCAGCGGTGGAGAGCAGAGACCCACCTCGGCCGAAGTCCTGCCATGCTGACCTCCAACACAGAGGGCTTCCCCCCAGCAGCAGCTTTCTGATAATGCCCCAAATCTCCTCAGCCAGCCAATCCAGCAACACAGGAAATGTCACTAACTGCACAGCGGCAACGAAAAAGCACGGGATGCTCAGCTTTAAAGCCAAATGCGCTTTCCCCAAGATGAGCTGCCCCTGCATCTGTATCCCTGATTTGCACTCGGGATAGCTAAACATCTTACCGATGCTTCTCTTGTAACTCAAAAGCCAAAACCGCCCGCTGCAAACACAAGCTCTCCCTCTTTGCGTGGTCACAGTGGGATAAAGTAGTTGGCAGAGAGCATGCTGTGGGCCAGAGAGTCTCTTGTCAGCCAAGCCTTATTTCTACTCTCAGAATCAGGCCTGGAATGTTAGAACGTATAGATGGCTGTTAAGACAAATTACCTCTGCGCTGCAGTAGGCAATTACTGAAAATGATTATTTTCCCTCAAGGGTAACTGTTTATATGGCTGGAAGAAGGTTGCCGAAAGGAGTCAATGCTGAGGAAAAGACGGGCTGAAAAGTGGGTTTGATCTAAGTCAGTGGCTGTGCTATTTGACCCACATTTCACTAGTGCCAGGCTGGCTTGGGGAGGCGAGCTTTTCCATGTAACTTTCTAAGGAGAGTCTTTGCATAATATCTGCCCTGGGATTGTTGTGCTGTGTGAACCTTCGCAGCCTGGCTTATGTGAGGGTTAAACAACCCACAGTTGCCAGGTTTGCCAGGCACACCACCACTGGGGGGGGCAGGGGAGTGGGTTGCAGGTGCAAAACCGTGAGCCACGCATCCTGTACAAGCCTCACAGTGGGCCTTGCGGCCTGCAGTGGCCTGTGGTGCCACGGGGATGGCTCTGGCAGTTCCCAAGTGTCTCACATTAGCTAGGCTGCTGAGCAACCAGGATGCCTGCCAGTTCCTATGTACTGCAGAGGGGATCGAGGCCAGTCCTGGGCAGAGGAGGGCAGAAGGTAACTCTCTAGATGTTCGGGCTTCAGCTCCCAGAAATCCCTGCCAGGACAGAGCTGAATCCAAAACATCTGGGGATCTACTTTCAGCCCATCTATTCCAAGGGGCAACCTCAGTCCTGAGCACCTGGCATGGGTCCTTAAGTCCATCCAACTCTTGTGGCTTTCCTACCAGTCTTCAAACCAGCTGTCCTCAAATGACTGCCTTCCAGGCATTCTGGACTTCTGCCCCCATCAGGAGCAGCCAAAAGGGCCAATGGCTGGGAATGCCGGGAGTTCAAGTCCAAAACATCTGGAGGGTACAAGATTGGGAGGGGCTGATTTAAGGAATGCTTGTCTGTAATTACTGATCTTCTAACTGAGAAGCCCCTGAGAAGGAATTCCAAGGCTTGGCAGAATGGCTTGAAATTCACAAGCGAATGCTCTATATTATTATTTTGAATAGCTGTTGTTATTATTATTATACATAATTGTTGTTAGTTATTACAACAACTAGTTATTAATAGTTGCTGCTACATTACCTTTACATCCTGCCTCTTTCTTCTTGTAAGAGGCAGCTCACCTTCTGTACTCCACTTTGTCCTCACAACAACCCTGTGAGGTAGGTTAGGCTGAGAGTGAGTTACTGGCCCAGAGTCACTTGCTGGCTTCATGGCTGAGCAGGGACTAGAACCTGGCACTCCGGGGTTCCCAGTCCACCACTGTCACCATCACACGGACTGGCAAACTCGCTTCATTCCTGATACTGCGAGTTGTCAGCCCTTGTCCATCTACCAACATCACGGTGTAACTCTTACTAGAGAACTGATGTTTTCTGTGCGCTCTAACGGCTGCATTTTTGCTTTTGTGCTTGTTAAGTTCAATAATACTGAATAAAATGTAAAAATGGGGAGGGGGAAACTACCACAAGGAAGCTTTGAAGGTAGGTACCTGGATGGGTAGCCGGCCGCACTGATTCGGATGGTCTCCAACACGCCACAAGCTCTCAGCTGCTGCACTGCTCTTTTTGGATCGAAGCTGTGGAGGCACAATTTACGGCATACGTGAACACGGCAGGACGATGAATATAAACGCCCTAACAGCCGTTTTTAAAAGTACACAGCATAATTGTTCCGAATGCTAATCTCTACGGGGTCAGCTCTTATTAGGGTTTTATTGGTGGTTTCCTCTTGAAACTGCCTCAGCAATTTGCCATATCACTGAAGGCTCTGGATTTCCCCAAGGACAGTCTGATGTTCAATACAATTTAAATTGCAATCAAAAGAAACAAAAATAGAGCAGGCATGAGAACTGCATGAAAAGCAGCACAGTGAGGATCTTGCAAAGCACAGCCTGTGTCAGGAGTTGCTCTTCTGCTATTAAAACAGAACAGAGTAAAGCATTCTCCAATCAGCGCCTTCCCCACCCCTGTGCCCCCCAGATGGCTTCAACTACACGTCCAATCAGCCCTGGATGACAGATCAGGGATGGTTATGGGGGCACACAATTGTCCCTCTGCAGCAGCTTTACCAGCTACCCGTCTGTTCCTGGAAAGAAATCAGAGGTTATGACCTATGAAACCCTTTGGCTTGAAGAGCTCCTTCACACACAAATTTGTAAATTACATTTTTGTACCACCCCAATCGTTCACAGGGCTCTCTGGGGGGCTGTACAAGTAAAACATAACAACGGTGAATCAAACCATTGCGAACCATTAACAAAAAACAGTCAAAACTACAAAACCTGTCAATTCATGGTGGTTAGAGGAAAAATGAATACATGGCAGAGCAGTTCAGATAAAAACAGTATCAAAACCAATCTATCTTTTAAAATATCTGGTAAATAAGAAAGGTTTTCACCTGCTACCAGAGAAGAAACTATGATGGTGCCAGGCACATGTTCCCTAGGCAGGGGCAACCTCAAAGGAGGCTCTCCTGCTGTCACTGAAGGCTCTCTTTGGAAGATCTGAAGGGCTATATGGTAGAGCTCTATGGAGCTAGCCTGACCCCAAGCCATTTAGGGCTTTAAATGCTGATGCCAGGACTTTGAACGGGGCCTGGAATTCAATAGGCGGCCAGTGCAGCTGAGAGAGGACATATGAGCCTGCCCACTTCCTAGGATCTCTGGAAGAGACCCTTCTTTGGAGACCACCACCGGAGATCCCACGAGAGGCCCCTCCCAGGCTGTGGCAGCCCCTTCCTTTGATGTCCTTCTGCCAGCAGACAGAGATGGCTTCACTGAAGGCGGCCTCCAGCCTGCAAGCAGGTCTGTTGGGCTGGGTGCTGCTTCTAATAATATTTTTTCTGTGATGTTGTTTTTACTGAATCTCAATGCATGGTTTTAATCAATCAATCAATCATTTCAATTGCTTTTGCGAGCTGCTTGAGTCCATGTCTTGGTGGGTACAAATAGAAAGTTAAGACAAAATGACAGGTCATATGCCACTTGGACTGCAAAACGTCCAGGAGATACCAGAAGTTCTGCAGTCCAAGCGGCCTTTGCTTTCCCTAGGTTAGGGAAAGCAAATATGCAGCATGCGCAAACGTTGCTCTTCCATCACAGAAATGGGACGTGGGATGCCAAGGGCTGACGGACAGAGACTTTTCCACGTGCTCCCAAAGCGTCAAACCTTTGGGTGATTGTGAGGCAGGGCCTCCAGCAGAGGGCGGCTCACCCCAGGGGTGGGATGTGCTAGTGCGCTCTCAGGACAATGAGGCACGTGCTCTTTATTCCATCGCTTTGCATTATGAGCATGAGATGAGTGCAGCAACGGGCAATGGGATGCACTGGCTCAGTCGCCTCCCCAGAGAGCTACTGTGCTCCCTCCTCCACACCCCGCTCAGGAGGAGGTCCAAGAAACTGGCTTCCTCCACCTCCAATTATGTGTGGCTGGAAGGGACTGCAGACTGACCGTGTTTACAATGCAAGGTCACATCACAAGGGCTCAGAAGCAAAGTGCTGGCAAAGGAGCTGCGGGGGTGGGGGTTGTCTTTGGCAGAGGAAGCCAATGACAAAACACTGGGGAGGGCTTCTGAAGACATTTTGTGCTCCCCCAAAGTATGTTGCTTTCACACCTGCAAACATTCATTATAGGCCAGAACAGGACAGCTGAAAGTGAAGAGTTCGTGCATCATGGCCATGGCAAAAGTTCTAGGGCATCTTGAATACGGCTTGTTTTAAGATGAAATAGGCTGAGCAATCACCCTGCCAACAAAAGTGCGTATAGTCAAGGCCATGGTTTTCCCAGTTGCAATGCATGGCTGTGAAAGCTGGACCATAAGGAAGGCTGAGCACCGAAGGATTGGGACCTTTGAATTGTGGTGCTGGAGGAGACTCCTGCGAGTCCCTTGGACCGCAAGGCGATCAAACCAGTCAGTCCTAGAGGAGATCAACCCTGACTGCTCTTTAGAAGGCCAGATACTGAAGATGAAGCTCAAATGCTTTGGCCACCTGATGAGAAGGAAGGACTCCCTGGAGAAGAGCCTGATGCTGGGAGCAATTGACGGCAAAAGGAGAAGGGGAGGGCAGAGGATGAGGTGGCTAAATGGAGTCACTGGGGCAGTCGGCGTGAGCTTGGGTGGACTCCGGGAGATGGTGGAGGACAGGAGGGCCTGGAGGAATGTTGTCCATGGGGTCGCAATGGGTCGGACACGACTTCGCGACTAACAACAACAACAAGCCTACATAAGGCTGCTCTGCCCATCCTATTCGCTCTCTCACACATAGCCTTTCTCCAGTCTAAAAGAGGGGGGTGGGAGCCTGGGTATGGTAGGAAGCGACTCTTTCCTTTTTTTGTGCCCACGGAACAGCTAATCAGCAGCGGGTCCTGGAGGAAGGAGACCCTGGCACTGCAGCATTTCTCCAGGAGGTTGCAGGGACCAGAAAGCTCCATGGGCATCACCAACGACCCATGAGCTAGAGAAATCAAGGAGCGGCTAAACTGAACATGGCAATGTGGCCTCCTCCAGGAGGAAGGGGGCTGAGCCCAGAGGTCCTTCTGGGGCTGAGGGCCCTGAGTTAAAGCAAGATCAAGGGCTGCTTCTGCAGCCACATCCTCTTCTAGGTTTGAGTGGTTTTCATCAGGAGCTCCTCTCCCTGAGTCATGACACCAAGAATCTCCAAAGAGACCGTCCTCTCCTGAGTCAGAGCACACGGTTATTTAGCTGCACCGCCTACCGAATACAGTAAAGGCAGAAATTCCCCAAGATTTCAATAATCCTTATCAAGTGAGGTTCTCCAAACTGAATGCACTCGGTGAGCCTCAATATTACCCCACGTAAGGCATATACGTCGCCTCTGCCAAAACGCAACCCAGCACGAGGAAAAGAAGAGCCATTGCCCTAGTACTTAAAATGTGCGGATCCAGAATCAATCAGCAGTTCTGACTAGGCCTGGATGCACAAGACTAGCAGAAGAAATATGCCCCTCCTGGTGCTTGTTTCCTTGCAACATTCATCATACCTGTCAAGCCCGCAGCAAGTGATCCATTAAATTATCATGAAGTTAAATACTTAAGAACAGACATTTAGTGCACTTTTCCAGGAAGGACCGGCTCTGTGCATGTGCCATTTTAATAATAATAAACAACAGTAGCGTTTTTACTTTGGCTGAACATCATGCAAATTCCCCAAATAATTCTTTATGTTGGCTATAACAGAGAGACCTCTCTAAAACATGGCTGTTGCGCTCGGGCTATGACTGCCTTGGGGAACAGAACACAGCGATTATTCAGCAATATGTTTAGCAAGAAGCAAACAGTATCGCACATTTCCAGATAGCAACCATGGCAAAACTTTGCTGGCTGGCAGATTTTCATGAATGCCATGATAGGTAAGAAAGCTGAGAGAGGACAGGACAGCGTTCTTCCAAATACCTGAAAGACGGTCCCTTCTGCCCCAGTCCAACTGCTTAACTTACAGCGGGAGGGGAATCAGCCAGTCAGTCAATCCTAAAGGACTGTTCACTAGAAGGACAGATACTGAAGCTGAAACTTAAATACTTTGGCCACTTAATGAGAAGGAAGGACTCGGAGAAGACTCTGATGCTGGAGCGACTGAAGGCAAAAGCAGAAGGGGACAGCAGAGGTTGAGGTGGCTAGATGGAGTCACTGGGGCAGTGGGTGGACTCCGGGGGATGGTGGAGGACAGGAGAGCCTGGAGGAATGTTGTCCATGGGGTTGTGAAGGGTTGGACACGACTTTGTGACTGAACAAGTGACAAGGTGTGGGGGAAACTGCGGGAAATTTACCAATGGCAATGCAATCAACCACCTAAGGTTTGGTGGGCCCTCCTTCACTGGATTCCCAACAGTTCTTTGTTCTTATTGGATATTTCATTTCTCTGCTGCCTAAGAGCTGAAGTGCTCTGGGCAGTTCACACAATTCACAAAGTACAACAAAAGCGAAAAAAGCAGCATAAAAGAAAGCTTTGGCCACTGGACAGTACAGAAACTAATTATTTAATTAACTGATCTCAATATACAACATTTTTTCAAAAAATCAAGATTCCAATGCAAGAAGACCTGTCAAAAGGAGCTTCCTCAAATACTTCATCATGCCATTGAAAACCTTCAGTGTTATTAAACTAAATTAAGATGTTCTAGTTGTGGATCTCCCGCATTAGCCATGAATTTAACTAGATGGTCTATAACAGTTAGAACATGAGTGTGGTGCAGTGGTTAGAGAGCTGGCTGGAACTTAGGAGATCCAGATTCTAGTCTCCACTTGGCCATGAGACTCACGGGGTGGCTTTGGGTCTGCCATGGACTCCCAGCCTTGCCTAACTCAGCGGGCTGTTGTTGTGAGGATAAACTGGAAAAAGGAGAAGCCACCTTGGGTTCTTTGCAAGAGGAAAGAAGCTGGGATAAAAATGACATAATAGCTGCGTGATTGAATAACCTGCTTATAATTTAGGCTAAGAGCAGGATGTAATGTTTGGGCCTGCTTCTCTCAAAGGCAGCATTTCAATCGATAGGCTCTGAAGGTAAATGAGATGAGGAAGGGGAGGGGTTGGAATGCATCACTGAAATGCCAAGTTAACAAGCTCTGAGGTAAGCCAAGTGGATGGTGAGCGCCAGACCACCTCTGTTGCAGGGGAGCCGCTGTAGGAGGGTCAAAGGGGGAGGAGTATGAATTCATCACTCCAGTCATTTGTTGTCAAGCCAGACAAGCAGACCAATTGCGTACTGTCAGGCATCCCTGCCATCTGACACACAAGCATTGTGCACCTCCCTGAGGGTGGAGCCAGCCCCTTTTGGAGGAAAAGGGAGGAGCAGGATTCCATGGGCAAGAGCTATATCCACCAAAAAAAGGGGGGATCCTTAATTGAAGGATGCTACTTGTTAATTTTATTATTTTTCATTCTGCATTGCAAAGCCAGCCCTGACTGACCAGCTGAAATCAAGAAATATTTGGAAGCTTTCACCTTGAACTGCTAGAATGGGGAAAGGGGAGAAGAGTTGTGCTCATGACACAGGAAGCAATGAATTGTAGTAGCTGAATCTGACCTCTTCATCCAAAGAGGAGTGCTGGGTACTCAGGGGCATGAGACTTGTGGTAGCATCTAGTCTTATGATGGCTTCCTCTTAAGGGCATAAGGACAGCCATACGGATCAGACCAAAGGGTCTTCTGGTGCAGCACTCTGTACACATGGTGGCCAACAAACTGCCCACAGGAGCCCTAAGCAGGACGGGTGCAAGAGCTGCTCCTGCCCAGCTCCTCAGCAACTGCTGCATGCAGGCAGCCCACCTCTGGTGAAGAAGGTAGCCATAGCCAGCAAGGCTAGTAGCCACGGATAGCCTCTTCCTTCATGAATCTGTCCAACCCCTTTTAAAAGCCATCCAGATTGGCAGCCATCTCCACTTCCCATGGCAGCAAATTCTGTAGTTTATCTATATGCTGAGTGAAGAAGCACTTCCCTTTATCTGTCCTAAACTTGCCGTGTTCATTCTTCTACAGCATAAATAATGGAGATGGTATGGCTGATTTGGAAGTGGCGTTTTGACTTACAGGCACTGGCTAAAATGTCCATGGCCAGTTATCAGGAAAAACTTACTGCTCTGCCTCTGCTGGACTTGTTTTACAAGATTTAAAACACTGAAATGCTGTCCAAAGCAACTTATTTCCTGCAGACTTTGGAGAATAGGAAAACACAGAATAAATATATGCAAAAGTGGTTATTACTTGCAGGGTTTTGTGATGATACATTCAAGGACAGCACTGGATCACGCTTCCTATATTCTCTAATCTGAATCAGAATTAATAAAGGGTCTAGATACAGATACTCGCAAGCCACAGGATTATAATTGAGTATGTATTTTGTTTCAGCGATTGTAGATGCTGCAAGTAAAATGCTGCTTGGTATGTTAATGGAATATTCATTCCATTGCAGCAGCGACTGAGTGTACAGGAACACAAGATTAGTCCCAAAGATAGAGCAATGGGAGGTTAATTAAATACATAAATGTAATAAAGAGGGATGTGTTATTAAATGTCAGTGAGTGAGGCGATCCACATATCCATCAAAATTCTGTTGCTCTCTCAGCTGATATGAATAATGCTCTCATTTCTGTAATGTTTCCAATGAATGTTTCTTCTGTTGCAAATATAATAGTCTGTTTCTTTTACATTATATTCCACACAGGCATGATTTTCTTGGTTTCTACTACAGTTTTGGTGTTTGCTTCCATAAATTCTCACCGAAATGATAAGAAGCTTGAAAGCTCTATATGAACTCTTTCCTCATTATGTTCTTGATAACCGTGGAGGCATTCCGCATTGCGATAGAGTGTACTGCTAAGGGGCGGCAACACTGGCAAACGAACACCAGCCCAACGAGGAGATGTTTTGAAAATTATCTCATTGTACTTCACGAGAAGTCAGTGCTCCTGCCTGCCACGGAAACATTGTTCAGGCTTTCTCCCCTGCAAGGGAGAAAGTGGAAGCAAGAGAATTGGCACTACAGCTCTTCCTGCACTGGAGAGCCTTTACTACTCAGTGGAGAGCCCTGGCTTTTTCAGGGTCCCTCTAAGCCATGTGGGACCCCCTACTGGAGTAGGAAAGGCCCCCAGCTGCAGGGGTCATTCCCCAGCTAAATGGAGAGATGCACAAGGGATTGGGACCAAGAGCTTGGCTGTTGTGTGTGCTAAAGGAATAGCACTGGCTGCCTATTCACTTCTAGGCCAAGTTCAAGGTTTTGGTCCTAGTATATAAAGGATATAAAGTATATAAAAAGCAGAGACATCACCCTGCTGACAAAGGTCCATATAGTCTAGGCTATGGTTTCCCAGTTGCAATGTATGGCTGTGAAAGCTGGACCATAAGGAAGGCTGAGCACCAAAGGATTGAGGCCTTTGAACTGCGGTGCTGGAGGAGACTCCTGCGAGTCCCTTGGACCACAAGGCGATCAAACCAGTCAGTCCTAGAGGAGATCAACCTTGACTGCTCTTTAGAAGGCCAGATACTGGAGATGAAGCTCAAATACTTTGGCCACCTAATGAGAAGGAAGGTCTCATGGAGAAGAGCCTAATGCTGGGAACAATTGAGGGCAAGAGAAGAAGGGGACGGCAGAGGATGAGGTGGCTGGATGGAGTCACTGGGCCAGTGGGTGTGGGCTTGGATGGACTCTGAGGGATGGTGGAGGACAGGAGAGCCTGGACGAATGTTGCCCATGGGGTCGTGATGGGTTGGGCATGACTTTGCAACTCACAACAAACAATATAAAGGACCTAAACAGTTTTGGCCCAGGAAACCTAAGAGAGAGCCTTCTCGCTTACCCACCTGCCTGATCATGGAGGTCACCCGATGGGGACCTACAGCTTCACTGAATTCCACCTGGAGAAGAGCCTTCAGTGGCCAGGCCCCATTTCTTTGGAACCTGCAAGTCAGGCAGGTGCCAGCACAGCATAGTTTTTGGTGCCCCCTGAAAGCTGTTCTATTTCAGGAAGACTTCCTGAACTAGCCAGCCATAGTTCTATTGCTTCTGCTTTAAAAAAAATCTTGTACATGTTTTATCATTTATTGTTGACCGGAATATGGAGCAGATTATAAATTTTCTAAATAAATAAATACCCTGCCTTTAGAAGATCCCAAGTTCAGCTCCTGGTATCACCAGGTAGCAGGTCTGGAAATGAGCTCAAGCTGAGCACAGCGGGCAGTCCAAGAACACAGTACTGGCACAGAAACTCCAATGCTGTGATGGGAGAGGGAAGCTTCATGGGTTCACATGCCAAGGATTGTGCCGAGAAGGCCCCAGATGCAAAAGATACGTCCTACCTCTGACCTAAAGTCCCACCTCAAGCTTTCCGGAGTGGTGGAAGGGATAAAATGCTAGACTACAAGCAGGAAGTCTTGGAGATCAAAATCTTACTCAGCCAAGAAGCTCATGGAGTGAGCTATGTTTCTTCAAATGATCATTGTGGGTATCAAGTGATAGAAGGTTGTGGGAAATGGTTGCTGCAGGGAAGATTCCACATGCTGAGATTTAAGACCGAATGGCCAAGAGAAGCAATGATGCTTATCCCAACTCACTGGGTAAAATGATCCTTGGATTCCCTCCAGCCTGCCACCAGACGCCTAAGAATTTATGTTGCTCTATCTCTTCTCAGCACCAAGAAAAAGCCGTTTGCGGTGCCTGTGTAAATATTATATTGCTTGGACGTTGCACGGTTCTTGTGCACAACCTTAAGTTATCTAGCACTGGACAAAAGCTGGGAAGCAATTCAGTGTGCAAATGGAAAAGCCAAGCATGTAAATTACTCTCCAATGCCCAAGAAAGCTTGTTTGTTTTGATGGATTTCAGCACCTCTTATGGGTGCCACAGCACTCCTGTTGGGTGCTAGCAAATAGCACTGATTTGCAGCCCCTGTGAAGCCTCAAGCTTAGGAGGTTCATCAAAAACTAGTAGGCATCAATACTCGACTGCTTTCCCCACAATTCCCATTGATTCATCATAGCGGACTGCTTAGGGTTTGACCAGATCAACCAATACATGGCCGTGGTCATGCTGATTATATAGGGATCGCCACATGACACCAACAGCCAACTGGGAAATATTTCAGGAGGCATTTTGCAGTAAGTCTTCCGGCAGCCTGTCCTTGCTCTTGCCTCACCAGAAAGCAGCACTCACCTGAAGGGGAGTTTCTCATCATTTGGCTTGATACAGCGTACGTAATGTGGAGTGGTGGCATTCAGGGTCTCCATAAGCAAGTGCAAGGAGTTACGGAACTGGAAGAGACAATAAAAGAGACAATCCATCCCTGAAAGGAGAGGCCAGAAGAACCAGTACTTACAACAAAATGCTGCAGATCGGCAGGTTGCTGTTTAGAATTCCTGCCACATCTCTCCACTTCCCATCCTGTCTTCCACCCCCCGCCTCCCAAAAATGACCACTGAATTAGCTTGGCCCACTTGGAGCAGTTTCTGGGCTCCCTTCCCAAGCTTAGGAGTCCCTCCCCTTGTTTTAAAGTCCCTCCCAAACCCTGAGGGTCCCAAGGCGTTGGGAATAACGAAGGTGGGGTGTTTGCTCCAGCACTCTTCATCATGGCACCCAGTATTTAAAGCATACGTCTTTAAAGTATTTCTTTAAATATGCATGTTTAGACAGAAGGAAGTCCTCCGAGTGCCAGCACCCTCCAACCAGCCATGGAGGGATAGGGCTCGCTGGGAATTACAAGACTTTACTGTCTAAACATTTTTTTTATTATTATTATTACATTTTTATACTGCCCATAGCCAAAGCTCTCTAGGCAGTTGACAGCAATAATCATAGAATCATACACTCAAGTCACCCATCCCCACTTCTGCCCAGGCCTGACCCTGCTTAGCTTCCAAGATTAGGCAGGATCAGGCACTTCAGGCTACATGGATAGTTCCTGAAATAACTGAGAGAGAGCAAACCATTGCCAGTGGTTGGTTCTCAGAGGAGGGTGACCCCAGAGGAGCCTTGGAAGGAGGTACCTTTATCTGTATCTTAACTGATGTTGTTTTATGGATTTAGGGTAGTGATGTTTTTAGCTGTATAATTACTCTTATAATGGTTTTGATTTCTGATTGTGAGCTGTCTAGAGGAGCTGTGGCACAGTGCGCAGTGTACAAATGTTTTAAATAGATTAAAATAAATAGCTTGCACAGGGCATGCTCGAACCTGTTGCCAGTCATGACAAACTCCCTTCCTTGGTACTGGGGTGGTTTTGCATACAAATAAAGTTTTCTGTTTCCTGGTGTAGAAATCATGGATGTTTCCATACTCTCCATCCCAGTATGAAGGCAGGGAAGTGCCTATCATCAGCGGTTTACTAATTATACCAGAATTATTATTTTTAAAATACACATTATTTGTGAATGTTATTGTTTTCCAACAAATGTATGGCACTTCTCTGTTGAGTTAACATAGCCTTTTAGGTGGAAGCGTGTCGGCGTGGTGTGTCACAAGTGTGGAAGGTCTGCAGAAAGAGACTGTTTTTTACCTGATGTCCCACTGTTTTCTTATGCTCTTTATTGGCTGCTTTCACAGTTGGACGGGCAGAGCGGATATTGATTTTTGTGGAAGCTCCTTTTCCAGCTGGAGCAGCCGGAGCAGGATCTTTTTCATCGTGAAACAAGTCAGCTACCAGTGGGTACTGGAAGAAAGAGGGGAAGTTGATGCATCTTAGGTGCTTTTTCTACAGCTAACAGAAACAATCTTCTGCTTAACAAAGGGACACTCTTCGCCCTCACTGAAAGGAATTTAAAAGTAGTTAGCAAATACAACAACAACTAGAAGGCAAAGTCAATGTGATGCTAAATGCACCAGCAGCATGGTGTTGTGGTAAGGGTGCTGGACTGCGACTTGGGAAGCCCAATTAGGTTGAAACCTAAACTGGTTCCCCACCAATTCCAAGCAGAACTGGACCATGGCTTTCTAGCTAAAAGGATGGATTATGTTAATGCAAGCAGGCAAAGTTGGAATACCAGCAATTAGAGAAAAGGAACATGACGATATGAAGTTGACTCCAAACTGAATAGCTCTCCTCCTTTCCATAGTGAAATGAGCAAACCATGCCTTCAAACCCCAGTCCTCCTTGGCCTGGATTAAGGTCCAGTTGCTTTGATCATCTGATCCTTCTCAGCTGGCCTCTTCTCCTCCCTGACGCTGAGTCCCTAGGTTAGTGACGCCTGATCTGCCCCCTTCTTCATTAGCAGACGCACTAAGCGTTTCCACAGTATTAAAAACTAACTGGTTCCATCAACTGCCCGGCTTATCTCTGAGTTTTGTTGCCTTGGCATAGCAGCTGTGGATTCTGACCTCTCCTCCTTTTCTGGCTAAGGATCCATGCTCGGATCTTCTGAAGACTCTTGCAGGAAAGACACTCGAAGGTCCTACACTGCGTGACTTTGGGGCAGTCCCTGATTCTTAGCAGGCTCACACGTGCCACCTTGGACTTCTTGGAGAACAGGCAGCTGTATGGGAGATTTTCTTCAGGACCAGAGGAAGTGGATTTCTAAAACCTTGCAAAGTATCCAACAAGTGTTATGAACTGCTGTGGTTCTTATTTGCTTCCTCATTCTGCATTGTATCATTCTCTGATTTCAGGTTTAGTAATGCATCTATTGGCAGACTTAATGTGAAAACTTGTTTCTCGCACTTGTTCCCAAAGCACACCCTAAACTGCTAAAGGGTTGCTAAGAAAGAAGAAGAGGACTTTGTGCAGCAATTTCCTGGGGAAAACCCCAAGGGCTGAACTCAGATCTGGGAGACCTGAAATGAAATGACAGTTGTAGCCATGAACTTGACAACTGTAAAGATCTCCTTCAAATTCAGCTGCCGTCTGTATGACGGAAAGTTTAAACTACCTACCTCCCACTCCCAGGGTGGATTGTACAGATTGCAAAATCACATTGCCACTGAAAACAAAACTTTGCAGTGTGAAGTCTTTCTGCTCAGCCATGCCCTCTTCCAAGGTACCTACTCCTGTGGTTTTCTTCCCCCGTCCCGTCCCGTCCCCACTCCTGAGTCCATCTGCTTCTGCATTCAGTCTCCTTTGGGCTGTTTTGGGGGATTTACACCAACATGTTTCCTTTCCTAAAGACTTTTTGTACTTCTTCAAAACTTGGGGGTTTTGGCACAGAGGCTGATTTTGGCACAGAGGGTGTTGTTTTGGCTATTATGTCAACTGGCACACAGAGAACTGAGTGTGCTTTCATTTACATGGTATCACAGTTTATCTAGCCTTGCTGTTACCACAGTGTGCATAGCAGTGAGTTTTAACCCACGTTTCCTGACTGGTTCTGGCCATTATGCAAATACCTGGAAAACTCCCCGAGACGCAATTCGCTGAGGGTGACTTTAGAAGCGTCGACTGCACAGAACAACTTTTAAGGCTATCACGGCAAGGCCCCCACGGACTCTCTACTTCACAGCACTTCTGTCAGGAAAGAAAGTGTTTACCCTGTTTCAAAACTCTGGCCCAAGGTACCTGCCAGAGCGAAAAGAAACGAATGTCGTACCTCCACAGTCTTGACTTTACTGGGACTGTGGTTCCTCATCAGCTCGAGAGAGGCTTAATTGGCCCAACTTTGTTTGCATATCTGACAAAATCCCACCAAGCAGCGCATCTGTTTGCATTGTATTATCATCTGGCCTGACACAGAGCTGTGTGAGCTGTATGCATGCTGGGTTTATTTTGATCTCAGCCACCTCCAGAATTTTTTGTCTGCCTACTTCTTGCCTCCAACCAGCCTCTCTTATGAGAACACCTTCAAAAACTTCATCTCCTGGTTCCAAAGACAACACAGGAACTCGCCTTAAACAGAAACATAGAAACAGAGTGAGTCAGAAGGGGTCTCCCGGGCCATCTAGTCTGACCCCCGGCTCCAACCGGCTCCATTCACAACATGCCCACCATGTGCAGAGTCAAGCTGCTTCTCCATCCAGGCCAGCAATGTTAGTGAGACTTGCTGCAGCTCTCCAAGTTTCAGGAGGCTTCCTTTGTAGCCCTGCTTGCAGATGCAGGAACTTCTGCATGCAAAACATGCACTCTCCCACTAAGGTAAAGGTAAAGGTAAAGGCTTCCCCATGACATTAAAGTCCAGTCATGCCTGACTCTAGGGGGCGGTGCTCCTCTCCGTTTCCTAGCCGGGGGAGCCAGCGTTTGTCCGCAGACAGTCTCTGTGGTCACGTGGCCAGCGGGGCTAAACACCAAGGTGCACGGAACGCTGTTACCTTCCCACCGAAGTGGTACCTATTTATCTACTTGCATTTGCATGCTTTTGAACTGCAAGGTTGGCAGGACAAAGCACAAGAGCTCACCCTGTCTGCGGATTCAAACTGTCGACCTTTCGATCAACCAGCCCAGCAGCTCAGCAGTTTAACCCACTGCGCCACAACTGCTCAAAATAAGAGAATCATATTTTATATTTGCTATGGCGTTGTGCAGTGGAGATGGCGTACTCATTCACGGTTGGGTGTCCTGCCTCTCATCAGGCTGAGGGGTGTCTTGAGAAGATATGTGTTAGCACATGGCTTGCTCCTTAGCAAATAGTCAGGGAGGGGAAAACAGCCCAAAGGCAAGTAACCCCAAGAGGGACAAGAAATCCCACAAAGCAGGGCCTGGACAGGCTACGAGAATGAAGAGGAGAGTGATCTAGTATTCAGGTGATGCGGTCCAAGTCAAGTCTCGGTAGTAAGGTGCAACACAGCTCTGCTGGACCAGGCTGAAGGTCCATCTAATGCAGCATCTCCGAAGGGACCAGTCTGATGCTTCTAAGAAGCACACGATCCACCGCCTCGACTCACCTTGCCCCTCCAATTGCACTCAGTGTATGAGTTTGGCACAGGACTCAGGACTTCATCCCACACGATCTCTTAACTCAGCAAGGCCAGCCCTCAGTTTTGCGGATGCTTCTTTCTCACTTGACTTGGACCTGGTCTAACCAGGCAGCAGAAAGAGCTGCTAGAATGAAGTATACGACTCCAGACTGCAGGTAGAGGAGACCTTTTTCGAAGACTCCCTTTGTTAAACAAAAGAAGCCCCACTACTGCAACTCTAAAAAAAAATCTAGTCCAATTTTTTCCCTGACACACTTGTCTTCTATTTGTAGCAATTCCCATATGGAAGCGCGTGAAAGGCCTGCAGTCTGAAAGTAGTACAGTCAATTTTGGGTCATCCTAAATAGCAGGTATTTTAGATTTGGAGCAGTAGGGTTAAGAAATTGGAAACAGGCTGAGAGACGGTCTGTTCCCTTCTCAGAACTCTCCCCAGCACAAATTCCCCCTTCCACTCTGGTTCTAAGCTGGTTACAAATCCTCATTAAAGGGAAAGGCTGTCTAGCCTAAATTGTGCTCACACTCCTGACTGAACACATATCCATTGCTAAAGTCAGCAGGACTGGAAGAATTCCTTGCTCCCAAGAAGGTTTGGTGGAATCTTCAGAGAGCCTGTGATGTTCCCAACTACAGCTCAGGAGACATTTGCATCAGCTGGGACTATGTACACTTTCCACAGGTTTACTTGGAAATAAAAAGCCATTCACTTAGATTATGCTAAAAGAGAATTTAACAAATCACAATGAGTCACAGCAGCTACAGGGCACTTCTAAGTACCATTCCACTTTTGGGGAAACAACCATGGGAGAAATTCAAGTCCTGCTTGTGGGTAGCTAGTTGGCCATGGTGGGAAACTGGATGTTGGACTAGATGCTGACCCAGGAAGGCCTTTCTTATGTTCTTAAAGAATTATGCAGCTTTTCAGGGACTCTTTGACATTTTATCCCCTTGATCCCTTTCGGAAGTACACGAACAGGGCAGTAGCCATAAAGGTGTGGAAGGGGTACAAGGTTTTCCATGACGCTAGAACAGCCAGGTGCAAAATGGAGACGTAAAAAGTAAAAGGAAAAAATTCCCCAGGAACTCTGCAAGGTGCGCATTTTATGCATGAACACGATTGTTTTGACAAGGGGAATAGCTTTCCATTCACAGAAAAGCCCACAACTTTGCGTTAATATTGTAAAACAAGAACAGTAAGCCATAATACCCAAAAGCAGCTTTCAGACATCTGCAACTGGCATGAGTAGAGATTCTGCTGAATTAAGGAATCCAGTGATGCAGCCAGCCATCACTGGTCTAGCTCGAATTTCAGCGAGTGTTGGGTTACAGAGTTCCCCACGCACTGCCTGGAGAGGCTACACTCCCTTCCCACCCCATTTTAACAATCAGTGTCAATGCACATTGCGAAAATAACTGTTCCACTGAACAGGAAAGGACAATGTGAGGCAGTGGCATTAAATTAAATAGAGAAGTGGTTGATTAACAGAGAACAGAAGTTTGATCCTAGCACAAGACACACATGGCAGACTAGCTCTAAAATTGCTCTGAGGAATTAAGCAAAATTGGAATTTAGCAGTCCCAATGAATTAACGACTGATGATGAAGCCCCATTAAATAACCAGGTTATAGGAGAAGGCGGAGAGCAAGTTACCGATTTAATCTTGGTGGCATGTACTGAGGCAGCATCCAATCCACAGAAGACTAGTTTAAAGAAATTAACTGAATTTGTTTTCTTTTATTTTCAAGTCCATGACTATTCACCTTAAGGTGTAGGTAATTTGCATAAGAAGTACAAGGCTGCTTCACAGTTGCCCA